ATTAAGGTGCAAGCAAGACCATATTCAGGAGTCAATGGTACAGATGTTATTTAACTGTATATGTGAGCTAAGGAGATAGAAAGAAATAGGAGGAGAGRGGTAGGATAGGGAGAAGAGAGATTAAGTWGWCACAGGGAATGGATTCTWTTCCATTTGATTTCCRCTAAACTGACAGTTSATGAAGACACCACYTTTTWMATCAGTAAATTTTCAAATCTGCATGCTGGAGATAGAAACCTGAGCCCCACTGAGTGCACACCAGTTGGCTGAAACACATAGATCAGCCCCCAATGAATTCATGGCTGTCAAACTCAGCCTTTTCATGGAAACTCTAAAAGCTACAAAACCTGGGCTGTGTTTTCCTGGAGTTGTAGTTTGAACTGTGCCATGAGCTCCTCTCCATCTTAGCAGCAGGATTTCTTTCTTCAAAAGCTGTACAAGTGGTAGAGACTAAAATAGTTTTGAAAAGCTAAATAGAAATGCACAAAGAACACTTGATTTGCGAACACAGGGACACACCCAGGAGGGCAGAGTTCAGTTGCTTTGTTAAATCTGTGAGTTATCTCTTTTAGAGGTTGAATTTACGAATTACAAGTTGGATTTAGCCTGGTGGCATCTTTAGAGCGGGCAGATGCCTCTTGCAGTGGTGGTGTGCCTGCAGAGGCAGGTGCTGCTTTGAGATGTTCTTTCCACATTTCCTCTGGGCATCTGCAGGGTACCTTCAAGCCTGGGGATGGCTTTGGGAGGATTCATGCTTGAACCTATAAACACATCAGCATCTTTCTTCAGGAGCCAGTTACAAAATTCTGAACAGCTGGTGAAGGGACCATCTGTACTCTGTTTCATGTTGGTGCTCAGTCTGAAGCTTTTGCATGGACCGGGCTGTGACAGCAAATGCACTTTTGGAAATGAAATGCTCACAGCAAAACTGAGTTCTTACAAGTTGTATTGAACATTATGTGACTATTGGTATTTCTGCCCAGTTTTATTCCCATTTTTTTACACTTCTTTTAGTACTACTGCTATACCACATAATCATTTTAATACTAAAATTAAAATAAAAAGTAAATGGAACATCCCAAGATAGCTCTTTTCTCTCCTCAAGGCTTAAAGCTCAGTTGGCTTAAAGATTGGCAAGAATGGCTGAGCTTTGACAGGACTACTGTGTKTATACAATGGCAATGTAAGGGAATCAGGAATAGAAAGGTTTGTGTGGTTTTGAAGCTTGCCACAAAACCCCCAATGGAAAGCAGAGTGAGATCCTGAGTGTTCCTTCCTCTTTCAGCTGACTTTTCCTTATGGCAACTCTCTTTTATTATCTTCATACTTAAATATTTCTTAAATTTCTTGAACATTATCCACTGAGTTGGTAATTTGTGGGTTTTAAAAGATCTCCTTATCAAGAGAGTCAAAATTCTGCTTTTCTGCAGGAAAAACAAAAGAGACGTCCATTGCCTCCACATGCTCTGCAATAAACAACGAACCAGACTACTTCAGGTGGGTGAAACAGAAATTAACTCTCGCCACTCACAGTAGGGTGCAGTATCAAGCTCTTTCCTGTGTTGGAAGGATGAGTTTGAGGTGGTTTTGCTGGCTCTCCGAGGCTCAGAGCTGCAATGACCCCCATGGTGGGTTAGGCCAGGATGGGCCCTCGCTGTACTGCATTTGCACGGGCTCAGCTGCAGTGGTGCTGTTGCATCCCCTCGTGGCATTTGCAGTGCAGGAGGGGAGGGAGAAATGTGTGTGTGTGGGTGGTGAGACCCAGAAAATTGCTCAGAGCCTCTGTCAGAGCAGAGATGTTGGCAGGGGCACTCAGAGCAGAGATGTTGGCAAGGGCACTCAGAGCAGAGATGTTGGCTGGGGCAGTCAGAGCAGAGATGTTGATAAGCACAGTCAGAGCAGAGATGTTGGCAGGGGCAGACAGAGCAGAGATGTTGGCAAGGGCAGTCAGAGCAGAGATTTTGGCAGGGCAGTCAGGCCTCCTGCAGCTCTTGGGCTCGGGGGCACCTCTGGCCTTTGGAGCAGACCCGGCCGGGCCCTGGGCCATGTTGGACACGGCCAGGGATGCTGCGTGGCGAGGCTGAGGGCCASTGTGGCCCTGCAGGGAAGCAGCCAGTGAGGCCTGTGCTGGGGCTCTTGCTTTGGGATGTCCTTGGGCACAAGCCACTAGTCCAGGCTGTTGCTTCTCAGCTACCTCCCAAAACGTTCAAAGGCATCAGCAGTTTCCTTTTCAAAGCTGTCCAGCACACCAGTCGGGTGCATCTGCCCTGGCATGCATCACTGGCACAAGTTGTCTGTCGTGGTACTGAACTTCAACTTGTTCAAGTTATACTGCTTGTAAAAATTAATCTCAGGAGGATTTGAAAGTTTCCTTGCCATGTGGAGGGAGTTATTGTCATCCAAAAAGAACCAAGTTTCAGGCCCAGCAGATCAGAAGCTTTGGTGTGGCAGTGTTGGCAAGTGGCCTCTATTATTCTCATTRCCACTTCATCTTGCATTTTTATCATGAGCTTGATAAATCCTGCTCGTGTTGATTTGAGGGAGAAGGAATAAAAAAGGTTTTACTCCCATAAGTGGCTTTAAGCATTAGTTTATTTTGTCCTCCTTAGAAGCTGCTGTGGTTTGGGTTTTTGCTGTTGTGGTTTGAGACTTGTCTGTAGTTTGCTTTTGTGGCTGTATTACAAGTGCCTCAGTTCCATGGTCAGGGATGTTACTGCTGTCCACAMGAAGAATCAAATTTTATCATTAATTCTGCTTTGGTATTAGACAGACATAAATGCAGATCAAAACTCTGGCTCTGTGCATCCAACTCCACAAATGCAGTTCCTGCCAAAAATGTATTGCAGATGGATTTTTCAAACGTAAATGTAGCTTAATTAAGTTTTTCCTACATGGAAAGCGAATAGAATTTAGCAATGTCCTCTTTCTGAAGCTGCTGTGTTTGTTGGTCCTTTGACATTTGAAATGAATGCCGATGTTTTCTAAGTGTACTACGTTTTCTAAAGAAGAACTCTAAAATGTGAAATATAGGTAGATAACTGTTGTAGAAATGTGGCAGATTTCTAGAGTTACCTGACTACATTCTCTGGGAGCACAAGTGCCTGCATGTAGAAACAGCCACTCACTGAGTGACTGACTCGAATCTTGGTTGTCTGTGCTTGACATTCACCGTGTGCTTGGTGCAAAATTGCCCATCTGCCATATGGAATAGAAATTTATTTGAAGGTTCTCTTAGAACACACTCCTAGAAAAATGGTCTWATTTTTCCATTAGGAAATACATAGCCATAGTCTCCTTGGAGCAGCGCCAGAGCTACAAGGATGACTTCAATACAGAATATGAGGAATACAGGAATTTACATGTCCTGATAGACAAGATCACCGAGAATTTCTGACAGTTTGGTGAGCAGTGGAAGTCCCTGACTCCAGGCTCTGAAGCCCATCAGGTAAAGAAGGATAAAACTGTGAAGACTGTGATTCATCACAGCAATATTTTAATTCCCTGGTACTGCTCAGAGAGACAAAGGGAAATTTTGTGGAATCAGCATATATACTCTGACAGACACTGCTTGGGCTGGGTGTGACTTTTGCAAGATCCTGACCATAAACCCCTGTTTGAACTATCTATGAACAAACAGCACAGTGAGAGATGTCCCAAGCAGAGTCTTAGAGTGTGTGCTCCTTTTCTTGTCTGCTGAGAGACATCACTGCAGATCTTGGGTGATGCTGAGAGTTTGAGATTTATTTTTGCAAATCTCCCAGAAAAGCAGTGACTCACACAGAAGAAAATCTCTAGAGTCAAACTGAATGTATTTTTACTGTTTTACCTATGTTTGCATTTTCTGGTGATAGTGAGATGTTCTTCATATGTTTTTTCTTGAAGATGCTGCTTCATCGAATCCAAGCAGAATATCAAGAGTTACAACAGGTGTGTATGACACCAGACCCGCAGGGCGTGGTAACAGCTGAGAATGCTGCAAGGCTATTTTAAAGCAAAGGACTTCAAATTCTCAACTGTGCAGAAATGTTCTCAAAATTTATTTCTCCCTCGTAGGGTAGTCCCAGCTACTCTGAAGTGAAGAACAGGTGTCAGTATCTCCACAAAAAGCTGTCACATATTCAGAGACGAATATCTGAATATGACCGACAACATGTGGAGTCCTGGCAGCAGACATCTGCTTCAGCCCATTGATATCTATGAACTCCGGTGTTTTTATTTCAAATACAAGATTAATTATTCTATAATTATTTAAGTCAGTAGTGAGCAGTAGGTTACATTAGTATTGACCAGTAGATTATTTGTTAAAAACCTAGGATTAGTTGATCTAAGTTTGAAGAAGTTAGTATTGAACATAAGCAATAAAGAAATTTCATTATTGTTAACTTCTTCTCTCACTGTTGCTTATATCATATGTGGAGCGGCTTTCTTCTGGTTTATTATTTTTTACAACCATCTTCTCGTTAGGTTGGCCCACTGAAATAATTTGATCAGTAGAAGGTGGAAGCCCAGTACCTCTACTAGGAAGTTGTACCCACTTGAAGAAAATATCGTAGCACATGGAGATTCTTTATGATAAGTATAAGCCTGTTTTCCAACCTTTCTTGTAAATGCAAACTCTTTGCCTGAAATAGTAGAACGTGGAGAAGTTTGGACAATCCCATCCCCAAATCACCTTGTTTTGGAGGGTTGCAGAGGAGTGCACAGGGGCTGCTCTAAGCTGTCAGCTGAAGCAGCTTCCAGTACTGCTTGTAAATCATGGCCTCACCCATGATTTGAATAGTCAAGGAATATCCAGATCTTTTGCAAGTGCCCCAGAAAACACACAGAC